CCATATTCTATCTACTTTTGGGGGACTATCGCCCCCACCCTCAGCTTCGGATCCTTTTAGAGTTTAGGGTTTAGGGCTTAGGGTTCCCAATAATGACCCATATCTAGGGTTTAAGGTTTAGGGCTTAGGGTTTAGGACCGTACAAGCAATCCAGGCCCATGCTCCCTATAACCTCCCCCGTAGAAACCCAGTGTCCATGTTCACTTTCCATGTTCTATCCCATGTGGTTCTCCGTTTTTGGATCAATCCCAACTAATTCATAGCTCATATAATCCCTACAAACTCCTTCAAAGCACTGACGGGCCGATAATACCTTTCTTCAGGCTTTAGAGTTCTGCAGGCGCAGACTAGGAACCCCTGAGAAAAGAAGGGATGGTAAAAGCCACTCAGTCGCTGCTGCTCAAGAAGCTTAGGATTCAGGGTAATTGTCCTTTAGCCCTAGGGTTCCAAATATCTAAAACATGTTGACTTCAGTCCGCAGACTCTATACATGGTACCCTGCTTTGGGCTATTTGCCTACACCCGAAACCCTTATCCAGGAAGCCCAATATGGCAAACTTAAGGAAGGTAGTCTAGACCATGAGTGATCTTAGCATCGTTTCAGCTATATTCCTCGATGACAGCGCAAATTCTATCCTAACTCTTAGAGAAAAGTAGCTTCGATTCTTTCTTTTTCACTCCCCATGTATGCCCATAAGTTCCCGATACAACAATCAAGGTATGTTGGGTGCCAGGGTTCAAAGTGAGACTCCAAATTCTTAACCCTAATCAAACCCCTGAACGCCGAAACCTCAAACCGTAAGTCCTACTGCAAGGTTCTTAAAGCCTAAACCCTAAGATCCTCAAACCCCAGACCCTAAGATCCTTAAACCCTATGAACCCCATACCTTTGGCCTCAAACCCTTTCCCTGAGGGTCCAAGTACCCAATAATCATATACTTACCCAAAACCAGTACTACAATTACTATTACCCAAATCCCAAGTCCCTAATTATTGGGAACTTGGACCCTTCACCCTAAACCCTAAGCCCTAGACCCTAAGCCCTAAACCCCAAACCCTTTGGCTGCTGGCCAGATGCTGAGCACTTGAGCCCCGATGGAGGCGCGTTCGCCACCGGCAGGTACATCGGCCTCAGGGTCTTTGGAGTTTGTTGAGGGTTTAGGGTTTAGGGGTTTAGGGTTTAGGGGTTTAGGGTTCAGGGGTTTAGGGTTTAGGGGTTTGGGGTTTAGGGGTGTAATTAGGGGTTAGGGTTTAGGGTTTTAGGCTTTAGGGTTTAAGGTTACGGGTTTAGGATTTAGGTAGAACCCCGCCCAGTAATTGTCACTATAAGGGATAATAAGGTGTATACTCGGGTCGTATTATAATTATTCCTATTATACCACCATTACAAGGAGGGGGGTCCTCCTAGGATATCGACATTATACAGGGGATGTGGGGATTATCTGGGGATTACACCGGTGGTACAGGGTGGAGGGTTTGGCTGAAATACGATTACGGGTCACGCTATCAACTCCTCGAGCCCTACGTACAGCAGAAGCCAAAGATATGGACATGGAGACAGCATCTCGTTGCCGATTGTCACCCTTCTTCTAGAACCCTAAACCCCACACCCTACACCGTCCCCCTCTTTCTAGAACCCTAAACCCCAAACCTAAACCTCTCTCTAGAATCTTAAGACGCGGCCTTAGGAACCCTAAACCCGAAACCCTTCAGATCTCAGAGAAGGACACGGATGTTTCAACTCCGAGGCTTCTACTGTAATCCCTTACCCCCACTCTCGGGTAGGTTTGGGGGCCGTATAAACAATACATTTTCATGGCTTCATAAGGATTATGTAGGGGTTAAGCGTGTTGAAGCTTGGAAAATGTTCAAACGCACCACGGCGCTTAAAAACACCAGCGCATTATTGATGATGATGGTTTAGGGGTTCAGGATGTAGGGCTTCTATTAAACTCAATCAGGGATAGTTATGCCATGCATGAGCAAAGGCAGCCGCCACCCACGACGCGGACGGGGGTGTCCCCACCCACCGGCTGTCCGCATGGAAAAGAAGGAATGACAGGGTGCCCTAGGGCTCCAGTTACCCAAATAATGGGAACTGAATTCTATATACCCTATAGTTACATAGGCCAGTAACCTACTATTTAGGCAACTGGAGCCCTAGGGGTGGCTTCCATGTGTTCATCTCCTTCATTCCGTACCCTAAATCCTCAACCCCACGAAACAAGCTGCCATTTTCCCCATTTCTGCATGCCCTACTGTCAAACCCGCAAGTTGACCCAAGACCCCAAACACGATAAGTCCCATGAACCCCTATAGTCCCCCTTAAGTAGATAGAATCTGGCTCTGGGAATATTACAATAAGATCCCCACATACCGCATATTCTATCTACTTCAGGGGGACGATGGCTTCCATCTCATGTTCCATTTGCTCTAGACCCTAAACCCTAAACCCTCCCTACAAAGAACCCTAAATCCAGCATGACTCTTCAATCGAGGCTCTGCAAGTCCGGGCGGCCGCCCCCGGTTACCTGGGTTGCTGTACAGGAACTTAATTTAAGTTACTACACAGGGGAATCCCTATTAGTTACTACATATATATATATACACCCTTTACGATAACTTAACTATTTTTTACTATACTGGGAATCCCTACTAATTACCGTATATACCCATTATGGTAACTTAATTTAAGTTACTATATTGGGTAAACGCTATTGTTTTCTATATATATACCCATTATGGTAACTCAGTCTAAGCTAACAGCAACCCAGATACAGTTGCTATGGCCATGGCCTGTAAATCCCTTCTCTTGTGGGACGATGCCGGAGCAATGGAGCAGGCCAAATCCCTGCCTTTGCAGGACTATGCTGGAGCCAGGAAGCCACGCAATGCAGGACATTCTTAAATTGTGGCCATGTTGGCCCCATGCAATTATGCTGACGCTTCATGGAAAGTGAGGGAGTGGATCCCTACATGATAATTCCTATATACAGGATATTATGGTATATTAAGATATATTACAATATATTATAATATGTTATAATATATTATAGTAGATTATATTTAAAATATGTTACGCTCTAATATCGTAGCTTATATTATGGTATATTTTAAAGTATACCTAGTAATACTACCTAGATTTACGACCTTTCATCCTGGACTCTACTTACGAACTAAGGCTTACGGCTTATAGGGTTTATAGTCCCCCTTAAGTAAGCTTTGCATATATTCTAATAAGATTCCTATATATCCCATATTCTATCTACTTAAGGGGGACTATAAGCCCTAAAGTCTTGAGTTTAGGGGTTGCTTGCCCGGGATTGCACGGTCACAGGAACCTGAAAGCCTATACAACTAACCACCGCGCAGCAGGGCTCGTAGCGCACCCTGACGTTCCCAGCTGCCCCACGGCTAGCCCTGAGGGAAAGTTACAAACACTAGCTTTCAGGTCTTTTAGGTGACGTATTTAATAACCAAGCTGTCTATTTGAGATGCCCTGCACCATAATCATACTTTAGGAGGACCCCCCCACCCTGTAATAGTGGTATAATAGGAATAGAAGAGGACCCTAATATAATCCTTACTATTCCTTCTCGTCACTATTTCTGGGTGGGGGGTCTACCTAAATCATACCAGGAAACTGGGACAAAATTTGTGGTATTTATTTAGGCCCCTAGGCTAGGTTAAGTTCTTTGCAGGCCTAAACCCTACAAATTCCAACGGCTGCTAGGGTGATAAAAAAGGGGCCTGTTTCTCAGGTTGGCCCCTAAAGCCTTTTGAACAATATTCGTGTCTAGGATCCCCTATTAAAGCCATTAGGGAAAATATTAAACCTCCCAGGGGCCTACCCAGTTCTGGGTCCTAGAAGGATTACAACTTTGAGGGTGTATTGTTTAGGGGTTAGGGCTCAGGGGTGGTAGAAAGCTCTATACTTGAAAGCAGCAACTTCAATCCGACGTCCCGACTTCAACAAATCCCACAAAGCAAACCTTGAATGCCACAGTAGCCCCAAATTTTCTTGGGCTCCTGGTTTACATTATTACTGTCGTGGGCAAGCATGCAGCAGAAAGGACATGCAGAATCAATCAAACGACATGCTGCGTCGCGCGCTCAGTTCTCCTTGAAGTCCCTATCTTCTGCTACTTTGTTGTGGTACTTACCAAGGCGCTCACGATACATCCTGGACCCCACCAAGCAGCACGCTTGCCCCAACTGCTGGGTTTGTTAGACCAAAAATGTCGACACTTCGGATTATGTTGCACTTACAGAACCCGTCAAGTGTACCTACCCAACTATCAAGTTAAGATAATGAAATATCAAATCTGTAGGCTGAAGATACAAAAAGTCACTGCTGGCTGGACCCCGGACATGCGCGATGCTGAAATGAAGTTTGAAAAGTTAGGATCTGCTTTGGGCGTCCAGAGTGTAAGGATTGTAGTATGTAGGGACCATTAGGGATCTAGATTGGGATCGCAGTGACAGAAGCTACCAAGCTGAACGGCAGTGTGCAGATTCTGAGCTCGTGCTCAACATCATCTCCACGAAAGCATCTAAACGCATTGTCTCCGTGGATACCTACTTCTCCTTTTGTAGCCAAGACCCTGCTGATACACCTAATTGGGGGTTATATTATGGCTCCTAATAGCGCGTTCGATCTGACCTTACAGCAAGGTACTTGGACAAAGGGACCTCAAGCGCTAAATAGCCTGTGCAATCCTAAAAGCTTCATGTGCTCCACAAGCTGCTCTCAAAATGCTAGGCAGCTGTAACCCTAAGGGTCCAAGGACCCAAATAATAGGGTTTTAGGGCCCAAATACTATAGTGTTCATGATATTTGGGCCCTAAAACCCTATTATTTGGGTCCTTGGACCCTTAGGGTAACGTATACAGAACGTATCACCGATTATTTGCGTACACTTCTCTAGGGGGCTGCGAGTTGTCTTTTTCACTTGCATGCTTTCAATCGAGTTATGGAGCTGGTGTCATATGTCTGGAACCATTCCGTCACACCGGCATAGGTGTTGTTGTACGGCTCATGATGCTGCTCCGTGATAGGTAAGCTGTACTGAACCAAGGACACTCCTGGCCAAACGTTGCAGTTCATCATGCTGTTCAACGCAAACTGCCTCAAGTATATTCGCTGCACCCGCTTGCTCATGATAGCAGCCGCATTGGACAGCGTCGAGAACGAAACGGCCAGATTCCGCGCTCGCGTCAAAGTACAGAAATCTTGCGCCAGAGAATTTGCCTGTAGTGTAACTTTGACGTTCAGGCCGGTTCTTGCCGTGAATCTTTCGAACCAGGGGACACAGGCGTGCCGCCTGTCTGGTGATGTGACGACAAGCACTTCAGTAAATTCCTCCTCTCGGATAATCTTCTCGTACATGGTGCAGGGAGGGTTTGCCCAGAGCCAGTGGTGAGCGCCTGCCTCCATGTTAACAGGCTTCTTCGGCATTAGCTCGAACTCCCCCATGTTCCACAAGTCGTTTCCACGCAAATGCACTGTCAGCCTCTTGTCCTCCCCGGGATCCTGCTTGCACGGTACCCTGGGGCCCTTGGGCATCCAAAGACTTATGCCCCCAAAAGCTCTGCATTTTATGCGAACTTCTAGGAGTCCAAAGCTAGTGTCTGAAAAGTGGATCTTTTGGGAAGATAGGTTAGAGAGAAGCATGCGCAGGAACAAGCTGAGTGAAGGGCTGAGGACTACATAGGCGCCTGGGTATATGCGCGGTGCACAGACATACTACAAAAAGTCTCAGACACTTCAAATAACAAATGAAATTGTTGGGCAAGGCTGTCTTACAGCTGCAGCTGATGTGGTTCTAGGTTGCACAACAGGTATAGAACAATAGTTCATCAACAAACTGCATCATTCTGTGCACAGCGTATGTGCAGTAGTTGCAATGTAGTCAGAGGGGTATTGCTTATACTTTGGGTGGAGCCTAACCTACGTATACTTCTCAAGTAAGTAAGTTACGTGTGACCGCTCACTGACCACTTAAGCGTGCAACAGCGTGTAAAAGCCTGGTCTACCCAAAGTCTACAGCTCCAAGTAAGCTATAGTCTAAACTCCTCGAACGGGGTTATATGGGGGACTCCATACGGGAGTACGATACGGACTATTAAGGGAGATAGTAAGAGTTTAGACTACAGCACATGTGAGTAGTGTTTTTTTGGTGATTAAACCTAGTAAGGTTATGTTCCTTATATAAAATAATATACCCCAAAAGGAGGATATAATCTTACTCTATATTGGGTGCCATAGTATCCCCAAATTAAATACTACGCACATGTAGTATCCAGTCTCCTCCGCAGGATTCTCCAGGCAGGCTTTGACATCCTCGATCCGCAAACCACACACTTTGGCATTAGGGGTATGGTTTAGGGTTTAGGGATTGAACCCTAAACCATAGGAACAGGATATGATCCCTAAGGGTCCAATATACAATATTCACATACTTTTGGATTCGCGGGCTATGAATCCTGACTTCGGTCTAAATTCGGAACTCTGAAATTTGTGGACCATTCGGTAATGAGTTGAACGGACTCATGTTTTGGACACTTGGGCAACCGGTTGAACTCAACCCTAAACCGCTTGGGTTGGGTTAGAAGCCGACACAGAGCTAGAGCTAAATAAGCTATAGTCTGAATTAGGGTTCAAGGTTTAGGGATTAGGGTTCAGGGTTTAGGGATCAGGGTTCAGGGTTTACGGATTAGGGTTCAGGGTTTAGAGATTAGGGTTCAGGGTTTAGGGATTAGGGTTCAGGGTTTAGGGATGTTTAGGGATTAGGGATTAGGGTTCAGGGTTTAGGGAGCTGCAGTCTAAACTCCTAGTATCCCCTTTAATAATGGAGTATCAAGTGGAAAAGAAAATGGAAAATGACATGGAGACTGCTATATATAGGACGATGTAGGGGATTATACGTGTTATAGTCTGAACTCCTAATATCCCCCTTAATACCCCCTACAATACTTTCCGTATAATCCCCTGTAGAACCCCCTTTAAGGAGTTCAGACTATAGCATAAATGGGCGCAAGTAGTGACCGTCGTAGTTTCTCAAGGTGAAGAGGCTAAAAGGCACACCGACCACGTGAGGAGCCTAACCAACAGCAGGAGCTCGTAAAAAGGCCTAATTGACAGGAATTCTTATCAGGCAAGAGGATTACTGCGAGCTAGGCAGGAGTGTGTCAAACCGCGCCCTCTACAATCCCTTTTGTATGTCAAGTCTTTTTTGGGCGCTCAGCCCAGCAAAATGGAATGATTGCTTGACAATGCCAATATCCCTGCGTGGGGTATCTGTTGAACTTCAAGCAAGAAACCCTCAAACGCAGAGTCCAAACCTGAACGACAAACCCTGAACCTCGCATATCAAACCCTTAGACTTCCATCCTTCAGCCCTCTTCTTCGTACAAGCGTCGTCTCGCAAGAGCGGCCATATATGCTCCAGGGCCAGGTTGTGGTACTCAGCCGCTGGCACGTTGGCGCAGCGAGTGGTCCAGAAGCCCCCCGCATAGGTATTCCTGGTCGTACAAGGGATACAAACACCCTGAATCCTGAACCCTCAACCCCTAAATACCCTGGTTCTACTTCTCTACTCGGAGCCGCATGGGGCTTGGATGGGCTTGCTCTAGAAACTTATGTTTTATAGGCTTTCCGCCGGCTTGGCTTCAGGGGAGCGAATTTAGCTACCATAGCACGGTGGAGGGGGGAAATCATGCGCGTGTATGGATCCGCAATTTACTGTAATGTCTGGCAAGCAAGGCGCACAGGGTGGTGCAAGAGTTTCTTCATCCAGTGAGGCCTCCCACTACCCTTAACGCAACAGTAAATAACCGGCGCAATCAGGCTACAAGAGCCCAAGTTGCATGCTCATGGGACCTAGTGTACAAAGAGCACAACCTATAAATTGGTTAATGAAAGAAAGCCATGCCTTGTTCGGGGATTGCTGATATGATTTGAGAAGTATTTCTTGATGAGGGTACACTGTGCTTCCGGGCAAAATCTCCAAACCTGGCCTCATAGCCCTATTACGAACCGACCGCGAATTCCCAGTTGCTAAGTTCGCTACTGCGGAGAAATGGGGGCATGCATCACTTAGGACCCCATTATCCTGTAATTCCAAAATTTGCTCCATCCACACAATGCCTGCAAATGTCTACTCTCAGTGGGTTTAGGGTTTAGGGGATAAAAGGAGTAAGATATACGAAATGTATCAGCTATCAGGCATAGGGGAAATCTTTTCGGCTTGCAAGTAGTGCTTGCCGAGCACAGCTACAAATACTTACTGGGCCCCATGTACCTCCAAGCGGGTCGTGGGTTTAGCGTTTTCGCGTTTTAGAGGACGCTCCTGGGAAATTTGGGCTTTGGAAGGCCGGGTGTTCAAGGGTGACAGCGCTTCAAGCAATGAGGGAAGCTATATGAGGCTAATGATGTTGGAAAGATTTTACGTTCTATCCTGAGGATTGTACTGAAACACAAGCTACAACAGTTCCTAGGGAAATAGTTACAGGGATTCTCAACACAGAGGTCCAAAGCCCTTAAACCCCAAAACCCTAAAACCCTAAACCCTAAAACCCTAAACCCTAGAACCCTAAAACCCTAAAAACAAAAGACGCCCACACCCTATAATACCCTAAGCTAAGCCCGAACCCCGATTGCAAGCCAATGCCGGAAGCGCACTCGGACTTCGGAGGGGAGCTTCAACACGGCGTACAGTTTGGATGAAGCTATGCTTCACTACCCTCCCGGAAACGAACATGGAAATCCAAAAAGGGCCCTATAAAGACTACAGTCCCTTTAGAAAGGGGCTATATGAGTTTCCATGTTAGTTTGGGGGAATGTAAACGTTTAGGGTTTAGGGCTTAGGGTTTAGTAGGGCTTTGAATGCTACCAAAAAGTCTTGAAACCTGTGCACTAGCCCCGAAGCCCTGAACCAAGACTCTGAAATATGTAGACATGAAATGTCCCTCTACAGGCCTTATATAACCCTTATACAACCCTAAACCCCAAAAGCCTGAACCCTAGACTCTAACTCTAAAACCCTGAACCCTAAAACCTTGCACTCTAGAACCCTAGAACTCTAGAACCCTAGAACCCCTTAACCCTCAAACCCTAGAACCCTAGGACCCTTCACCCTAAACCCTAGAACCCTTCACCCTAAACCCTAGAACCCTAGAACCCTTCACCCTAAAACCCCCACACAACCCCGGAGCATGGACTGAGCTGAGCAGCGGTTCTTTTTTCATCCGGGAGCCTTGGGCCGCCTCTTGGCATTCCTTTGGGATTTGCCCTCGCGCCTTTCAGGGCTTTGGGTTTTAGGGTTTGGGGGTTTAGAGTTTAGGGGTTTAGGGCTTTTGCGATTTGAGGTTCAGGAATGTAGCTTTTGGGATGTATGTTTGGGGGTTTAGTGTTTATGGGGTTGGGGTCTAGGGCTTAGCAGAAGCAAGTGTTGGACTTAGGGCTCAGCATCTACAGGGTTTCGGTAATAAAGGTGGCAAAATGGCGTTCATATAGGGCTTGAAATGGGATAAGAAGGGGCGTAGACAAATGCCTAACTCATGCTTCATGCGGAATGTGTGTACAGTTGCATACTCAGAAGGTCCAAGTACCCAATGATTAGGTACATGGGTCTTAGGTAATAGTAATTGTAGTACGGGTTTTGGGTAAGTATATGTTTATTAGGTACTTGGAACCATAGGGATACATGTGATGAACGTGTACGTGTACGTGTTCAAGTCCGTCGGTACATGCGGCGAATGCCGGCGAACGTCTTGGCAGACGCTACCCTAAGGGCAAAGTATATCTGAATAAACGAAATAACTCGACATGATACAAGCGCCTTGAGATTGATTCATAAGATGCCCTTGATTCATAAGATGACCCTAGACCTTAACCGCATTGTATTCCGCAACAAGGTACACTGCGCTTCCTGGGCACCATGTTCGCTGCTGAATACTGGCAACTTCCATGACCAGCTCCATAGAAACTATGCCTGAATGGTTTAGGGTTTAGGGTTGAAGTCCCCTGAAGTAGATAGAGCATGGCTTTGGGTATGTTGTAATGAGATCCCCGTATACGGCATATTCAACTACTCAAGGGGGACTATAGTGCTAGGATGTTCCTGGTGTAATTACGCTCCTTATGAAGAATCCCCCCACGTCCTACTGATGAGTGTTCACCCTATAACTATAGGATGTCTTCACATACCTTCATATGCACCCTTCTGTGTGACCCATTGCTCTTCCCTCCCGGCCGGCTGTTACGCATGCAGAAAGGAATTTAAACATAGATCCGCTGAGATTACATGGCATGGCAGTGGCAGCGGAAAAGCCAGATCCCGACTCGCGAGATGCTAGATTTTACATCTGCTCAGGGCTCTGGGTATACGGGCAATGGTTGCAGGCCCCAGGTACAATCGTTGAGGTCTTTTGGACCCAAAAGCAGCTTCCAATACACTTTGATGAGTCTGGGAAAGTCCCTTGTACAAGATACAATATTCTTGAAATCTTACTATATAAGTCCAAGACAGAATTCCTGCAGTGCATTTGAACACAGCACTAGACCATAAACCCTAAACCCAAATTAGAGGACCCCAGGGGGCTCCCAAGGCCTCGCCGGCGTCGGGCAGAGCTTTGGTGAGATTCTTGAAGTCAAACACCTGTGGTAGCTGGCCACCTGCGCAAACTAAAGGCTCAAACAACGGTTCAGGGTGCATAGTCCCCCTTAAGTAGATCGAGTATGGCTGCGGGTATATTGTAATAGGATCCCCACCTACCCCATATTCTCTCTACTTTAAGGGGGACTATAGGGCGTCTGCCGTTCTGCGCCCCGTCCGGCCTGATGCTACAAGGTTGACACGGTCTGCATGCATGCCTGAGCTCCACTTGACAGTTCCGGCTCCAACGGTATTCGTTTAGAGCAAGGTGATTTAGAATATTTTCAATTCCCAATTTACGGCCATGTTGGTACTGTTCCGTTTATCACCACCATTTAGGGTGAGGTTGGGTGAGGTCGGTGTAAATTGCCCAGTTAGAGTATAAATTTAGATCTATAGAGACTTTGGGTTCCGGGTCTTCCAAGCGCTGTTGTAGAAGCAAAATTGCACCTGTAGCGCTCTAATTAAGCGGGATACTGGAAGCAGTTTGCAGCTAGGTCAAGAGCGTAGAGGCCAAACAGCGATAGAGAGAGAGGGAGAGAGACCTCTCTATACATACTATAAGCACGTCTATAACACTAGAAAGGAATTTCGAAGGAGCCATATGAAGTCTCCGCCGGGCTCCTTGCACTTACCTGGAGGCTTGATGACGCCGTACCCTACAAGTGTCTGAATGCTTGGCGTT